GACGGCCGATTCCTCTTGACCAGCTGTTGATTGACTTTACTGGAACATTCATGCTGACGCTGTTTCCAAGACAATCTCCTTCGATTCCGGTAAAAAGGTGCTAAGCTTTCGTCCGCCACATGACCAACATCATTAGAGCGAGGTAACATCGTCACAACCAAATTGTAGCTAACGAGTCAAGAAAACTTTTTTTCTTTTCTATTCTTTTCTTGACTCGTCAGCTTCCATTTTGTTGTGACGATGTTACCTCGCTCTAATGATGTTGGTCATGTGGCGGACGAAAGTTTAGCACCTTTCTACCGGAATCGAAGGAGATTGCCTTGGAAACAGCGTCAGCATGAATGTTCCAGTAAAGTCAATCAACAGCTGGTCAAGAGGAATCGGCCGTCGTCTTCTGGTGGGACCGACCGACCTTTGAATCTCTTCACGCAACACTTCCACTCGAAATGGAAGTAAACTCAACAGTCAAGTTTGCATACGAACAAGAAATATTATCCAAAGAAAGGTAAGGTTTCAGTGAATCTATTGGTCTACACTTGTTGGGCTGACGATTATTTCCAGTTAAAGGGTGTTTTAGGAAGACATTTACGTAGCTCTTTCCCAACAGAAGATAAAGGCGGATTGCTACGGTTGACGCCGTCTTCTATGCGCCCTACTTGAATTTGGGTGAAAATGTGCATATTTCAATCAATGAAAAAAAAAATCACGGGTATATCCGTAGCTAATGTGAAAAAATATGTTTAAATTTCCCCAAACAGCACAAATTAGGCATAGAGTTGATAGTCTAGCAAAGATATTGGCTCGAAACCCTACTTATAAATGAAAAAAACGTCTGAAGCTAAAGGAGCTTACTTATGAGATAGCAGTAGTATAATAATATAATATAGTAGAGAAGCGCATCAACACAATGAAAATGAATGTAAACTAAAATATAAATTTCCTAAAACAATGTCAAACTCAGAAGTTAGTTTAATCTGTCTATAATGATCATATCTCATGTCATCTAATCTCACCCAAATTAAACTATTTTTATCTTACTTTATCTTATTTTTTTCTCTCTCTTATGCACAAATTACGTTGGGACATTCTTTTGCTTTAAATTAATTTTAGCCCAATAACATTTTGAGTCAAGTCCTTTCCTTTTATTCATACTACTGTGATGCCAATATTTTACATTTTTGGAAAATCGTTTATATTTCTCTTTACTTTTCCCAAAATTTTCGCACTACTTGTTGTTTTTTGTCTTTCTGCATTCTCCGAAAACCACTTTCCATTGATGCCTTTTTCTTGCTTTTCTCGCCCTCTTCCGGACCAATGACGCATTCTTACTTTTCTCTATTTGATGACGACCATACTCACGTGTCTCCGAACTTAGTACGGTGTTGTTGACTGGTCTTGTCTTCTCAAGAGACTACTTTGCAAAGCTTTTCATCGACAGCATCAGATCTACTGTCAGGCGTGGAAAGAAGAAGCTGGTCACGATCTTCTCAAATGACTCTTCAGTCCATCATGACCGGACTTCTGGAAGGCTCCATTTTGGCCAATCTCACAGCCAGTCTTCTTCAACGGCAGACCTGCTGATCTGGCCAGATGAGCACAATATCTGCAAGACGCAAGACGCAAGACCTGCTGAGTGCAATCACTTAATGGGCCAGCGAGGCAATTGGAAATGCTGTAAAAGTTAATGGGTCAATCAATCCGATTCGGAGTTGAGCATTCGACGAGGGGGTCTGAATAAACAAGAATTGGCATAATCTGCTCACGTTTTCCATCATTTATTTGTCCTCGTTTCTTCTCAATGCCTTCACTCCAGACTCGACACAAGAAGTGTTTATGCTTTTATGTACTCACACTTGCTTCTGCTCACAATTGCACGTATGTCTGCACACTTGTCTGTCTGTATGTCTGTCTGTCTGTCTGTCTGCATGCATGTGTGAATGATGTATGCTTGCTAATGTGCATGGGAGTGGAGTATGACTTGCATGTGCATGTGCTTGCGTGTGTGCGAGTGTATGGCGTTGGTGGGAGGAGGGCGTGGAGATGGTTGCCACGTGTTTGCAAGTGTGTACGCATGGGAGTTGTGAGAGAGACGCTGCTTCATCGTGAGGGCGGTTGCAGGCTCGAAAAGAGGTTGGGAGCGCCAAAGCTGGTGATGAAATGAGGCTTTCAGGCGACTTTGTGCTCGTGCGGGACAGCAGCGAAACGGCCGAGATGCGACGCGACGCGACGTTACACGACACGAGACGAGACGACACGAAAAGACGAGGCAGACCAGAACGAGTGGGAAGAAATGTGTGTGGAATGCGAGCATTGTGGAATGATGTAATCTCCAGTCGCGTTTTGAGTGGACCAGTCGAGGTGGTGTGAAAAAGGTAAAAAAAATTAAATGTGTATGTGTGTGTGTTTATGTAGGCTAGGCAACTGGGAGGAACTTGTGAAAAGAGCAGGAGATAATAGGCTTGCAGTGGAGAAAAAGGATAGGCAGACGGAAATGGAAAGGAGAAGGTCAAATTGGGTTTGTTTACTGAATATTGGGGAGCTAAGGAAGAGAAGGAGAAAAGAGCAAATGATAAAGAAGATAGGCAGGAGAAAAAGGAGGAGAATGAGGAGAGCGAGAAGGAAATTAGAGAGAAGAAGGAGGATGAAAGGAAGGAGAAGAAGAACAAGGAAGCGAATGAGGAGAATGAGGAGAACGAGAAGGAAATGAAGGAGGAAAAAGAGGATGAAAAGAAGGAGAAGAAGAACAAGGAGGCGAATGAGGAGAATGAACAGAAGGAAAAGGACATGAAGGAGAAAAAGAAGGATGAAAAGAAGTAGAAGAAGTACAAGGAGGCAAATGAAGACAATGAAGAGAACGAGAAGGATATGAAGGAGGAAAAGGAGGATGAAAAGAAGGAGAAGAAGTACAAGGAAGCGATTGAAGAGAATGAGGATG